CTGAAATAAGTCTCGGTCGGTTTTAACTGTCAGGGTATTGGTAAGGATTGTGGTCCTCTCTGTAGTTTTTCGCAATCATGTAATGACTCTGCCAGTTGAGCATAACCACATGCTGGTCTATAAATTACGTTATCGTAAAATCACGTGTTCTCCACACTTCCGTTTCACATAATCAATGTACGCTCTTTTGTAAAGCGTCAGATATGTTGCGTTGATCTGTTCTCTATCGAACGCGTTGCTGGACATAGCAGCAATGCGCACGCGGTGTGTGGATGCCTTGTGGGACATACCTGCGGAAAGCGTCGAAATAGCCGGTACTCTAAAGCATGAATAAAGTAAACTAATGGTCAAATCGCTTCTTGCGACATGGGCTCACGTAAGCGTGACAACGACAGTGTCGAGCCGCGCAAGATAGATGATTGAACCAACGCTTCAGTCGTCTTGGAGAAAGACGTAGCAAATGTGAGCCGAAAAAAGTTGAAATCAGACACAACACCATACAGGACTTTGTTATCGCATTTTTTTAGAATAAAGATCGCATATAGATAGTTGGTCTTCTCAACTATGGTTTTCAAGAAATTCGTCGGCGTTCACTGCAAATCTAAACAATGCGTACCATCTCGTATCTCGACCAACGCCGCACACTGCTTTGACTTTTTCTTCTCAGTACAGTGAGGTGGCCGATGATTGTAAAGGCGCGAGGCTTGCTGCCCTACCACGTGCGAAGGAGTAAGGACATATAAAAAGGACATTCCAGAAAGTTGTAGGGACCATTCAAAAAGTAAGGATATAGGAGACAGCCAAAACAGTAGTTTTCGCGTGCCGGCAGTTGATTCCCCACAGCTGCGCTTGTCTGCATACGTCTTTACCCAGCTCGCTCCATGGCAACTCAAGATATAACGCGCAAAGATGGCAAAAATTGATGCCCAAAACAGCGACCCCGCCGGACCACGCTCCAAAACAACAGCGCAGCTGACAGGCCGCCTGCACAAACGTCCCGCTCACCCCCTCTGGCGTCAGCTTGTGGGTCTAAGATGGGACGGTGCTCCACGGCATGGCGTTCAGGGGTCTCCTGGCGAGGTCATAGTGGCGTTCCAGCCCTCCTGATGAAGTCCTGGTGGCGATTGGGGCTCTCCTGACAAGGTGCTGGCGGCGTTCCGGACTATCCAGGTGAGGCGCAAGTAGCGTAAATAACGTTTGAACGGAAAAGAGTCCCGACTTTTTTCAGCAGGAAATCTAGAAGCAGCATGTCAAAAAGCAGGGATCTAGTTATAAATTTGAAGTAATCCACAAGGAACGCAGGACTTCTCGGAGCCATTTGTCCACGGCTATGGAAACGAGTTAGGCGACTAAGAATACAATGTGTAGTTGAGTTTTAGCTAGTTTTTCTGGGTTCTTGAGAGTTTCAGTTAGCACTTTCTGACGGCTGCTATTCGGTTCAAAATTACGTAAGCCGTCCAGCGCATTAGCGAAGACTTTTGCTATTGTTTCGATAAAGGCATGTTGCCAAAATATCAGCGCATCTATATCTCCATTCTCCTGGTTTTTCTCCGAGGGATAAGGCTATTACTAATGTCTTGTCTATGAGTTAGACGACCCTCAATCTCTTTTATGTCGGGCTCAGATGCACATTAAAACCAGCAGGACGAATGCACACAATAATGCCCGACATTGGGAAGAGAAACTTGCGTAAGTTTGCAAAGCACTTCGCTTGCAGCACACGGCACCGATTGCACTCTGATTATATGCTCTAAGATGAAACACAGGTCCAAAACTGCACCAATTGGAACACGTGAGATCGCGAGTCTGTAAAAAACATTTTAAATTTATCATAGTTCACTTCGGCAGCGAAAAACATTAAGGTGTAGTTGCAGTGTATCAAGAACGTTTTATTCTACATGGTTTGGTAGAGCCTTTGCCGGACTTGGTCGCAGTGCAACAAGTTTTCCGTTAGCATTTTTGTAATTGCCGTGACGATGACTGCACATGCAAAGACAATCAGTTTTCCTTTGTGCGTCCTACACGCTAACAATGAATCACGTAAATTTGCCTGTCCGTAGCATATAAAACACTTTTTTATCACTCGTGATCCGTCCCGGCCACTCTGAGTTACTTGTGTATAATCGAATCTGTTACGTCATTTCTGTTTCACCTCGACCGAATCGCGGAAAAGACGTTCTGCGCGTCTGGTAAAGTTTCTGCGTGACGTCACGTAAAATCGTTGTCCTACGTATCGCTGCAGTCACCAAAAAGCCAAGAATCCATCGAGTATGACGTCATAAGTGACTTCAGCAGCAAATATTATTTGTCGGTCACCCTGCTGCGAATGCAGCTTAGGTGCTCCTCAGCTGGCGCACGGCTCAGATAATCGGTGGAAATTAAGCATTACAGCAGGAAGTGCTGCACAAAACAGGGAGAAGCTGCTATTAAACAGATTTTGCGATGCGGTAGCAAAGCTCGAGCACCGCAGAGATCCCGGCGAGATACCGGCCTCCTGACGAGATCTTGGTGTCGTTCCGGCCCTGCTGACGAGGTCCTGGTGTCGTTTGAGGTTCTCCTGACCAGGCAGATTTGCTGTGTCATGATTTAAGGCTGCTTGTGTCGTTTTCTCCCGCTTCAGCTGATAATGACGTATTTTTTACTCCTACGAGGTTACCTGAGGTGGTCATCTCTCCGCTCGCCACAAGAATTGGAGACCGAGAACCTATCCGTCGTCTCCGGGAGGAGTTTGGCCTTTGTTCTCGTTCGCCACTTGTTTGTCGAGAACAGGCGTGCCGAAGGTTTCTGTAGTATATTTTTTGTTAAAACGTAGCAATAATAAATAGCTCAGCAGTCCCACCTTACGACATAGTTTACAGTTGGCACTCGATACACTCCCTGCGCGCACGCTAACAACGCACACGCGATACACCATCCACAGCATTCGTGGTGGGCAAAGGCGACGCATGCGCCAGAATTACATACTCCCACTGTATATCGCGGATAACGGTCTACTTGACGGGCACCCAGCACACTATGATACGCCGGGTGTGCGAAAATGCACCAGGCGCTCTGCGTGTTCGTTCCGAGAACACGCGCGGAGTGCATGTCCGAAATTTGCGTCGGAAGCACCAGCACGCCGGCGAGGTACACCCACGCATTCGCCTCCGATAAACGCCCGAGAATGCGCGCGAAGTACACGGTCGCGTAGACACGGCCCGGCCACGTGCGCGGACGGGAAGCCCCGAGTACGCGCCAAGTACACGCCGAGTACACGCCGAGCGCACGTCGACATAATACGCCCGGTGAACGGTGGTGACATGCCCCCTCCCCCTCCCCCTCGGACACGTTGCTCCGCGGACCACACACCACGCGCACCCGCCGCGAGCAAGCCCGCGAGAGAAACGCCGGGGGCGACGCGCAGGCGACAGATGACGCGCGGCGGCGGCAGAAGCGGCGCATCCACTCTCTCCGCGCAGCTGCAAGCCCGGCTGGGGCGGCGGGGCGGGGCGGGGAGGTGAAAACATCCTGATGACGGCCGGGTGTCGGGGCCGGCGGCCGGACGTGCTGACGGACGCGGGCGTGGCTAATTCGGAGGGTGGCAAGGTACGGGAGCAGCCCTGGAATTTAGCCCCTCGCGCAAACAGATTTCACAAAGGGAAAGATAATCGGTGCCATGTGTGACCATGAACTGAATATGGAGGCCAGCTGTTATATACTGATCGCGAGATCAGTGATTCGGACGTGGATTTGATCAATCCTGAGGAGGCCAGGAGTCAGCCAGATCTGCACCATGGCTGTCCGCGAACACAGCGGACTGGATCCAGCGCACACCAAACCCCATTTCCATCCGTTTCGCACCCCCGTCACGAACCTCGCCATCAGACGCCTGGAGACCGCCGGCGAGCGCGACGCGTGACCGCTGCCGCCGGTCCGATGCCCCCTCCCCCCCCCTCCCGGTGATTTAGACCCGGGGCGTGCCTGTGTCGCGGTGAAAAGCGGACTCGGCGTGCCGTGGCTAACTGTCACGAACGTCGTTTCGGCCGAGGGCGCGGAGTTGTGATAGATTGCCCGCACGACTTGGCGCGTTGAGACTTCCGTTCGGTTCGGTTCGGCTCGGTTCGGTTCGGCTCGGTTCGGTTCGGTTCAGTTCGGTTCGGTTCGGTTCGGCTCGGTTCGGTTCGGTTTGGTTCGGCTCGGTTCGGCTCGGTTGGGCTCGGCTCGGCTCGGTTCGGTTTGGTTCGGTTCGGTTCGGTTCGGTTCGGTTCGGTTCGGTTCGGTTCGGTTCGGTTCAGTTTCGTGCGGGGTGATGCTGGGTCCGGTCTCCGCAGCCACCCTTAACACCACTCGGCGGTCTATATTGGCCTGAATGGACTTCGACCACCATTAGGTGTTATTTGACCCCAGGGCGGCAGCAAGGATTGGACACAGACCTAAAGGAGCAGTCAAAATAGCCCGGAGACGCTGCAGCCAAAGAACACGGCGAGTCTTACGCCGTGGGAAACATGCGCAGACGGGTTGGTGACGGGGAAGTCAAGCCTTCACTCTGGCTCGAGGGCATCTCCGAGTCACCTGGCATGAAATAGTTCGGGGGTGTGCGTCCTTTCCGGCCAATCAGCGGCGCGCTAGCCCATCCGTCGCGCATTGCACAGTCTCCCTTGACGAATTGATCCACAGTTGATGGCAATGACCGCTCGCTACAATGGCGATCTTCTACACACACCACGCTTTATAACTAACAACGGATACTGAACTACATTGCCACCTCCCCCCCCCCCTCACCGCCCGTAACATCTTCGTCCAGATAAATCCCGGAAAAGGCGAGGGCGCAGCAGGAAGATTTCGCTGAGCGGTCGTCACCGTTACATGCACTGCGCCGGGAATTATTAGCACGTGGTAACGACAAAGAACAATAACAATAACAATAACAACAATGCTGGTCCTCGTAACAATAGCGGCGTTATCGCAATCGGAATGGTTTTCGTGCGCATTAGTTCCGTTGTAACCATTCAGTAGATGCAATCTCTCAGTCTCTCTCGATCTCTCACGGTCACCGACGATACTGAATCAGCTGTGCTGTCAGTCAGCTGTGCTGTCATTCAGCTGTGCTGTCTCTTGTGACGTCACGATTGTCAGTGCCGATCCTCCGGGTCTGCACAGACTACGGCCCGTCGCCAGAAGCTGTGCTGAGGCTGTAACAAGGACGCTTGGTCACGAAATGCTATCGCTGGCCATGCAGCCCGGGGACATTTTATCGTTCGCATGCGAACACGTTGATGACTGACAACAAGGTGGATGCGTAGAGGAATGCTGATCTCACATGGTAAAACCAAATCATTTGATTGTGTACGGTAGGAAATGACTAACAGGCTGACCTTCAGGCAAAAGTGAGCTATACATTAGCAGACAACGGCAGCGACTGAATGAGCGCCCTCAACAACCTTCCTGTTTATTAAGATATTTAGTTCATCCTGTTCTCAGTAAGAATTTCTGAATTGCTGTTGATCTAGGCTCCTTGCAGATACGAGCCGCTGAATGCGTCTCTCGTCTAGAGCTATTTGTATGATATTCCTTTCCTGGAACAAGGTTACGGCTGGGCCTCAGGCTACTTTCTCGATAGCTATTTAAGCTGAGCTTTAAACGCCTCACAATTACCCGGCTGGCACCTCTGGTTTTCTCGCGACAGGATACACGGCCTCGATGTCAGCACTGTGGCCGATGACAGACCGTTGGTCCTCGACCACCACTGACCTGTCAGGATGTTCCTCACGAGGACTGCTCGTCAGGCATGGCCGAGTGGGCGACGTCCTCGCCGTCCTCGTCATCGGCGGTGCCCTGCCGGGTCATCGGATCAGCCAGACTCTGGCCGTCCGAGGCACCGTCATCATCACCGCCATCAACATCATCGTCGCGGTGCGCTTCATCTGCGGCGACGCCGCTGTCCACGAAGCGGTCGACCACGTCGGCCTCCCCGGACAAGGCGAACGAGTGTTCCTCATCGACCGGGAATATTTCGGGCGATGGTTGAGGCTGGTCTTGGCGGAAGAGGGCGTCATCGTCCCCACGGAACCGTTGACCAAACTCCTCGCCGAGCATCATCTCGGGCACCACGTGCTCCGGGCTGGAGGACTCAGTGCTTCCAGCCGCCATCATCTCCTCTGACATCATCTCTGCCCGATCGTCCACGTGGCCAAGGCCCTGCTCTCCTTCAGCGGTCTCTCCCTCAGCTCGGATCGGCACGCTGGGACGGACGTCAAACATACCGTCGCCAGCATCGCTCGCCGACTCATCGGCGGCAGGAACGGGACGAGGCCGGGCGCTGAAAGCGTCGCTACCCGGCGCAGTCTGGCCAGCCGCTTCGTCTTCCAAAGCGTTCTCGACAGCGTCGTCGTCGTGGAAGTCATCATCGGGAGCGGTCAGTCGTGCCGAGGCGTCTTCGTCGTCCGCTGTTGCACCACCCTCCGGTCTGACGTCATCCAGTTCGCGCCGACCTGTTTCACCGCCGTCATCCACGAACCGCGCCTCCGGCTGTGCGCCGTGGGGCTCCGTCGAGTCGCCGCGTCGGCCGTCCTGCTCTCCGTCGACGGTGTCCTCGAAAGCTTCGTCGCTCTCGATCACGGAAGCCGTCTTCGGGGGTCCGAACCCCTCCGGAACGCCCTCCGAGGCCGCCATGGGCGTGGCATCTGACGAGGGGGGAGGAGCCTGCGCCACGCCACCCAACGGCATACCGGCATCCGGCATCGGCATACCCGCCATCATGTGTGGCGGCATGGTGCCCATCATCTCCGGCGCGTTTTCGTCTTCTCGTGTTGGCATGCCAGCCAGCGTCATATGCGGTGCCATCGCATTTAACATCTCGGATTTTCTCTCGCCGTCCTGCATTGGCATACCGGGCATATCCTGCATGGGCGTAGCAGACGTCATCATGTGCAGTGGCATGACGCCCATCATCTCTGATCCCTGGTCTTCGCCTTGTGGCATTGGCATGCCAGGAGCCGTGTGTGGGGGCGTACCACTCATCATTTTTGACTCCTCAGCATCTTGCATAGGCATGTCAGGCATCTCCTGCATCGGCATACCGGGCATCATCATGTGTGGCGGAAGGCTGAGCTCCTCTTGCTCTTCTTCATCATGGAACACTGGCATGCCAGACATCATCTGTGGCGAAATATCACTCGTCACTTTTGATTCTTCCGCATCTTGCATTGGCATGCCGGACATCATCATGTGGGGCGGCATGGCATCCCTCAGGTCTGGCTCGGGACCACTGCTTTGCATCGGCATACCTGGCGTCATCATATGAGACGTCATATCACCCATCATTTCGGGTTCGTCGCGAGCTTGAATCGGCATTTCTGATGCCACATCATGTGGCGCCAATACACCCATCATCCCTGATTCCTCACTCTCGCCATCTGGCATGGATGCATCGGACATGTGTGGTGGCTCGTTGTCCATGACCGGCGAGTCCTCGTCTCCGTCACGTGGCATCGGCATCGGCATCGGCATCATTTCAGGCATCATCATATGCGGCGGCATGACATTGCCGTTCACCATAACGGCCCCTTCGTTTCCGACTGACATGGGCATGCCGGGCATGTTGGGCTGTGGTGGCATGTCTTCCGTCATCATCGGTTCCTGGCCTTCCATTGCCGGCATTCGTCCGCCAGGCATGCTCGTCTGAGGAGGCATACGTTCAGTCAAGCTGGGATCCTGGGTCAGCACAGACTGTCCAAACTCCTCGGCGCCTTCATTTTGTGCGGCTGCACCTTCTACAGGTCCAAGAGACAGCTTTCCGACGACATCGTCTCCCTCGGCGACATCGTTGGTGCCCAGGAGCACCCCTCCCGGTGCGGTGCGGTCCTCCAGCTCAGCCCTGAGAACCGCCGTGACGTCGATGTCGTCTCCCACGCCGTCCTCCGGGAGTCCGACAGAGCTGGACACGCCGTTCTCTTCCGTGGGGAAGTCCATCGGTCCCGCCTCGTCGTCCGACGCCGCCGCCGGCTCGACGCCGGCAGCCCCCTCGTCCAGGGCGTTATCCACGAACACGACGCCGCCCTCCGCGCCCACCGACGCGACCTCGCTCCTCTCCGTCGTCGCCCCCTCCATCTGGTCGTTTATCAGAGGTGCCTCGGGGATGGCGCCGAAGGCCTCCTCGCTGCCCGCTCCCGTCGCCGTCCCGCTGCTGACCTCGGGGAACAGCGGCGACTGTTCGGCTTCGGCTCGGACCTCTGGCATCGCCGGAGGTCCTCCCGTCGCCTGCTCGGGCACCATCGCGCCCGGCGCTCCGTCCATCATCTGCGGCCGCTCGTCGAAGTCCATGGCAGGTGTTACCTCCGGCGAGGGAGCCATCCCAGCCTCCACAGCACCTTCCGCCATTGGCGGGTCCCGTGAGCCCTCCATGAATTCTTGCTGCTGTTCTGGGGACATTTGGGACTCTTCCGGCGATATCTGTTGTTCTTCTGGGGCTTCCCGTGCTTCCTCTATCTGCTCCTGTTGCATTTCTGGAGGTCCCTCCGCCCCTTCCAAAACCTCTGGCTGCTGCAAGTTTGCTCCCACCTCCAGCATCATCCCCGCCTGCTCCCTCGCGACACTCGTCTCTGAAATCTCCTGCAGGCCACCACTACCCTCCGGCTGTTCATCTGCCGGGCCCACTTCTTCTTGGAGCGCCTCCTCCACGTCCTCCGCCTGCTCGTCGGCCGTCACCTCATCGCCAAAAGCGTCCTCGACGACGACGTTCCCGAGGGGAATGGTCAGCGCCGCTGGCGCGTCCTCACGCAGCTCCCCGACTGCGATCGTCGGCTGGGGTCTCTCCTCCGCCAGGTAGCTGGGCTCGGTGCTGGGCCGGACGCTGGGCTGGGCGGTGGTCCTGCGCCTCCCCGCGAGCCTCCCGGCGGGCCTCCCGGAGGGCCTCCGCCTGGCGCCCGGCCGCCGGCGGCCGCTGTCGCCGCCCGTCGGCCGCTTGGCGGTGATCCGCGTGCCGAACTCGACAGCGCCCAGCTGGGCGGCCGTGCTCTCGTCGACGCGGTACGCCTGCGTCGGCCGACGGCGGAACGGCGGGAAGGAGAACGGCCGCCGCGAGGGGCGCGGTGAGGGCACCACAGGGTCCGGCACCGGCTCCGGGGACGTGGTCGAGGGCGCCGCGTCCGGAGACGAGGCCGGCGGGGTTGTCGGCGGGGGCGTGGGAGGAGCAGCCTCTGACTCCTGTGACGGGACGAAGGCGGCCGTGTCAGGCTCAGTGTAGCTGTACGGCCCGTCGGTGACATCACCGCTCGCCACCAGCGGGGTTGGCTGCGGCTGGGGCACCTCTGACATCATGGGCTCGTCTGACGTCACAGCCTCCTTTGACATCACGTCTTCATCTGACATCACGTCTTCATCTGACGTCACAGTGTGTTCTGACGTCACTCCGTACACTCCGAACACCTCCTCGGCGCTTGCATCCGGTTCTTCCGACGGCCTGGGCATCTCTGTTCCGTAGCCTCCGAACGCCTCCTCAGGACTCGGCTGCGGTTCTTCCGACGGTCCGGCTTCCTCTGATGTCATTCTGTAGCCTCCGAACGCCTCCTCAGGACTCGGCTGCGGTTCTTCCAACGGTCCTGCTTCCTCTGACGTCATTCCGTAGCCTCCGAATGCCTCCTCAGGAATCGGCTGCGGCTCTTCTGACGGCCTGGCCGCCTCTGTTCCGTAGCCTCCGAACGCCTCCTCAGGACTCGACTGCGGTTCTTCCGACGGTCCGGCTTCTTCTGACATCATCTCGTAGCCTCCGAACGCCTCGTCCGGGTTAGCCTGCGGCTCGTCAGACGCCACGGCCTCTTCCGACACCACGCCGTACCCTTCGACCGCCGCCTCTGGGCCCGAATGCGTCTGCCATGGCCTCGTCGGTCTCCGGATGTACCCCGGGATGCTGCCGCCGGCGTGCGGGAAGAAGGCCTGGCCGCTGGGCGGCGGCGTGGCCGGCTCGCCGACCGGCGCCGCCGCCGGACGCGTCGTCCCCGGCCCCTTGTTGACGAAGATGGCCGGGCGGAAGGTGGTCGTCGGGTGGCCGAACGGCGCCGGTTGCCGCGGCCGGTACGGGTACGGACGCGGCGGGCCGCGCGGGCGCTGCGGCCGACGCGTCGGTCGCGGCGCCGCCGCCGTCGTCGTCGTCGGCCGCGGCGTGGAAAGCCGCGCGAAGTCGTTGGTGAAGAAGGTGTTGGTGAACTCGCCGTCAGTCTTGGTGAAGTGGTTGTAGGTGGCCGGGCGGCGGTCGGTGTACTGCGCCGGGGTGCGGTACCGCACCGCACGCCGGTCGTTCATCTTCTCGTCGTCGTCAAAGACGGCGGTGTGGTCGGCGTGGTCGCGTTCCAGCGCCGCCAGTTCGCCAAAGCCTTGGAACGCACCGCCGTCGGCCTGCAGCAGCGGTCCGAGCTCGGGGAACCGCGGCGAGCGGTCGGCGTCGTCCGCCTGGAACGACAGATCGGGCGCCGTCGGCGGCTGGAAGGTGGGGTTGCTCTCCAGCCGGCCGTAGAACTCGTCGCCGGACGTCGGCGTCAGGTCCGCGGTGGGGAAGATGGACGGCGGGACGAACTGGCCGCCGGCGGCGCTCGTGCCGGGCTCGTCCGGCGGCGGGGCTCGCTCCGTGGTGCTCGGCGCCGGGCCGGGCGAGGCGCTCTCCTCACCGGCGGCCGGCTTCCCCTCCTGGCTCGTCAGGGCGCCGGAAGAGCCCGTCGGAATGTCGGGGAACGGCGGGAAGCTGCCGACGCTGACGCCGGCGGGGTAGCGACCATCCTCCGGGAAGTTGGCGAACCCGCCGCTGGCCCCGACGAACGGGGCCTCGCCGCTCTCTGGGCGGGGCTCTTCCGTCAGCGGAAGTCCCCCCGTGTGGGAGGGCGGGCCGCTCGCTGGCTTGCTCGTGTCGCCCTTCATCATCATCATCCCGTCGCCCTTCATCATCATCCCGTCGCCACCTGATGGCATCGAAAAGACAGAATCCGACTTCATCGCTTGCCAGAAGTCGTCGCTGGTCGTGTGCTGCCCGAGGCCCTCCGTGGTCGGGTCAGCGGCCGCTTCCATCGACTGCTCAGTGGCGGCGAACGCGGACGTTTCTCCCATCTCCGGGAAGAAGCCAGCGACATCGTGCTCGAAATCCGTGAATGGCGTCGGAGCCACGGGGTCGCTGGTCTCCGGCTCCGTGTATCGGCCAGCGTCTCCCTCGCCCGGGGACCCGGGGAAGCGCGTGGGTTGCGGATCGTTCTCCGCGCCGAACGCCGGGAGCTCGTCTCCTCCGTCGCCGGCCGGGAAAGTAAACTTGGGGAAGTTGGGGAAGTTGCTCGTGTCAAACATCAGTTGCTGGTCGGACTGCTGCGGGCCGTCCTCGCCGGCGTCGCCGCCGGCGGTCGGCGACATCTTCAGACTGTCGAACGGAAACTCGGGGAAGCCCGGCGGCGTCTCGGTCCCCGGCTCCGGCCGCGCCGCCGGAGTCTTGACAGCCCCAGCGCCGGTGCGCACGTCCTGCGCGAACGGCACGCGCTCCGTACCGGGGAACGACGACTGGCCACTGGCGATGTCGTGTGGTCGCGCCGCGCCCGCGGTCTCGCGGCCGGCGCCGGCCGAGCTCGGGCCGGCCTCGTCGCCGAACGCCTCGAACGTCGCGCCGTGCAGGCCCACGTCGCCGGCCGGCTGACTCGTCTCGGGGCGCCGCGGCGGCAACGGCTCGAGGCGGTTCGGCCTCGCCTCGATCTCCGGCGGCGCCGCCGCGGCGCCGGCGGGCCTGCTCGCGCCCGCGCCCGCGCTCGCGGCGCCGGTCGCCTCCAAGCGGTTTGCCTTCTGGCCGAAGTCGCCGGCGACGCCGGGCGCCAGCGCCGCGTCCAGCAGCGCCGCCTGGTGGCTCTGCACCATCGGCGGGCCGGCCATCGCGAGCACGGCGAACCGCGGGATGCGGTCCTCGCGCCCGGCGCGCGCGTGCAGCGGCGCGCTCCAGAGCACGTCGTGGGCGCGCGCCGCCATCTTCTCCGGCAGGATCGCCGACATCAAGCTGCGCGACTCCTGCACGAGCATATCCCAAGCACGGCCCTCCAGCCGCTCCGCATCCAGGCCACGGTGCTCGACTGGCAGCTGCGCACTGGCGCTGGCCGGGTGCTGGTGCTGGGCGCTGGCTGCCGGCGCTGGTCCGGCCGAGGCGAGCGAGGAGGCGGTCAGCAGTAGCCCTGCCAGGCCGTACTGGAACGGAGACCAGGCCGGCGGTTAGAGAGCGAGAAAAACTGGACGGGAGGCGGTGACAGATGGTGACGCAGGAGAAATCGGAAGCATGTGCTTCAATTAGTGTGATGATATTCCGGGGGAGTAAAAACCGTCAATGTCTAATTTGTGTTGACAAAAAGGTAGAGAGGAACATTTTAAGCACTGGACGTGTAGATAGGTGCTTAGAAGGCCCAACACACATAAAGAACAACCCAACAACATGCTGAAGGAAACAAGCAGATGGAGTACCCCTCGACGCATCTCAGTGCATGGAGGTGAGAAAGACAGGCGTACTGTTTGA